GTGCTGCAAGCACTTGGGCTACAAAAATGTGACAAAAGAATATGGGCTCCAAACGCAGGGTTCGAACACGGGACCTAATGTCCAGAACTTAGCTTAATCACCACTGCACCAATTTGATCGGTCGGTATTTTATAGGGAAAATTAAAATAAAACCGAAGCTAGCGAACTGAATAGAATTTAGATCAGAATCAAGAAAATATATCAACCAGAAGCTTGCAACAACACACAGCAACCTGTAAAACTCAATCAAATTCTACTACAACAATACTCCAACCCAACATAGGTTTGGGAAGATCACTCATATGCGAAAAATAGCACTCTATCAGAATTGGAGAAAAACTTATAAAAATCGAATTTGAGACTAATAATCGAAACGACATATAGGACTCGAACGAAAACGAACAACCTAATGACGGCTCGAAATGACAAAACGAGACACCAAATTCGAACAATTTAATAACAGAGGCAACTTGACTCGATATATACGATAAACGAGAGTTCCGTTAATCCACGAAATTTCACGAACATACGAAATAAATAACGAATATACGAACCAAGGAAATATACAAGAGTCGAATCAACAAGCAATTAATTCCAGCAACATGATAGCACGAACAGAAAACATAATGGTTCGAAAAGATTACCCGTCTTCGGGAATCTATGAGTTTATCGAAAAAGAGTCGGGTCGAACGAACGGTACTCGGACTATCTCGAAAGTGCTGCTCGCGAACGGTATCAAGGTTTAACTGAAGCCGACGGTGAGAACTTGCCTCAACGGACATGTTGCACGCTGCTCGAAGAAGCTCTGTGGTCGCTACAAAGAATGGCGACGCCCGCTGGTGTCTCGCGAACAGAGCTTCTGTAATGGGCTCGTCGGCGAACGATCAGGACATACGAGAAGGGCTCGGGACGACGGTCTGCAGCGGTTTCTGGGCTGAGGGAATGCCGGAGATGATGGTGGTTCGCCGGATAAATTGTAGGTTTGCGATATTTTTTTTTAAAAAAAAAAATGAATTAGAGAGATGAGAGCAGGGATATGCGATTACTGCTTGAACGGTTTTGAATTGAAAAGTTCCACGCCGGTTCTTAAATAAACGAGATAAATGGGAAGAGAACGTGCAAGATTCCTCACGCCTAGATCGGAATCAAAAAATTTTATCCGTTGAGGATGAAAAAAACTCGGTCGCGACGAGGGGAAAGGGAAGAAATATCTGTTCACATAATAAAAGAATGAAAAAGGTTCGCTGATGTAATTCTAAATGGGCCTAACTCAATTGGGCTAAAATTATTAGAAGTTACAACCCATAGTTAATAAAAAGAATTTGGGCCATTATTAATCTAACAATGGAGCAATGTATTTAATATGGCAAATGAGCTGGAAACAGATTCCAATTGAGCCGAGAATTATATCTGAGGAAGATCGAGCAATTCGATTGACGATGATAATAAATATAATTTCATGACTCATTAAATTAACTAGACAAGAGCGTCTAATTAATTAGCATAAGTCTAAATGAGAATTTGTCGATCACTAATGCAATATAGACAATTAATTTTAATAATAGTAATATTACTAATAAAAAATAAATAATAGCAAATTGAC